TGAAAAGCAAAATCAAGTAAGAAATTGTATATTTGGCGAAACCGGTGAGTGGTGCAGAAGATGATGAAAATCAAAATTTAAGTCAAAAAAAAAAAAACAAATTAGAGAAGAGGAAAAAGAAGTGTAGGACCAAGAGGACAGTCTTAGTAAACAAAGGCTAAATAAATGCTGTCTTAATATCATCATAGTGACACGTAGACCGGTGGATCAGGTGACTGAGGACAAGGCTAAACCAATCAGTATTTTAAAACTAAGGAGGCCACAAATAGAAGACAATTTATACGAAAAAAGAACGTTCAACTCTTGAATACTGGAAGAATTTGAGGATGGACTAAGAAATTAACGAATGAATTCTACCAAATAAAGGCAAATCAACGATTCCAATAACACCCATCAATTTATGTGCCGCTGTTTCAGCTACAGCAGCAACACACGTCAGCACCGCTTCACCGGTCAATTCCGCTCAAGTATGTGCCTCAAAATTTGCACTTTGCGAAAAATTTCAAATAAGCATTATGTAGAAGCGAATAGCCTAAAACCGATCCAGCGAAAGATTGATTTCATGGCTTTTTTATAATGTAAAAGCAAGAAGAAATGCCCGACTGAACTAAATTCAGGCCTGAAATAAGGACTGATGCTTTTGTAGCCATAACTGACGGTCTGTGCAACTGACAACTTTTGTGGTTGAACTGTCCAATGCTGCATCGCCTGCCGAACTGATGTAAAGGACTGATATATGATGACAGTGATGATGAATGTTCAAAAACTCTAAAGATCGAACGACATAAGGAATGAAAGGAATGTGAATGAATAAACCTACGCACGCAGGTTCAATGAATTGAACCTGCATGCTTAGGTTCAATGAATTGAAGGAAGTTCAGTACCACGTACCGATAAAAGAAAAGCACGTTGTAACTCAAAACCAGTCAATAAGAAGAAAATGTAGCAGGTTACGAAAGCACGAGGAAACGATAACCACTAGTACAGTAAATAATAAAAATATTGAAGGAGAGATGGCGACTGACGAAAGGAACGTATGCAATGACCAGAATTCGGGCACTCTTACAATCTTTAGACTGCAAAGTGCCCAAACTCCAGCACCAAACTGAATTGATAAGAAAATGGGTTTAAACTTTCAACAGTAAATAAGTTTAGGATGGGGGAATAACGTTTCTGCAAACGTCCCGAAGAAGTTTTATCCCATGACTGGCGCTAGACACAACATCAGTTTCACGATAGGTCAGGTTAAAGAAACCAGTATAACCAAATAAGTGCCTTTTTGAGAAGCGTTACACGGAGTGGCACTTTTACCGCTCCGATTTACTGGATGAATCATTT